ATCAGAACAGTGGAAAAAATGAATTATACTGTGAGAAGAGAACGGGGGTCACATCACTGAAATACCCTTTGTATTTCATCACAAGCGTGCTTAGCTGGAAGTGCTGAAAACATGTCACAATCATAAACAGACTTCTCAACTCAAAAAAAGAAGTAGTATTTGTATTAACAAACTAGCTAACTTACTAAATGACATTCCAAGTAAACAGTCTATATGCACATAAACTGAACTTCATTAACTTACAAAATACCACAAAAAAAAACATTTTAAAAGGACACTAGCAAAGCTTGTCTCAAAACTTTGTATTTTTCTGATGCGTATCTGTGAATACATGTTCCCTCATTTATACATCTTTTAAGCTCCTGTCAAAACAAATGTTTGGTGACCCTAAAAATCATGCAGAGATACTAACAACACAGAACCTTAGTTCAGTCTTTCAACATTAGATCGTTAACAACAGTATTTTAATTAAAAATGCAAGTCCTCTAAAACATTGATTTTCCTTTCCCAACAATAATTTCTGTCCTTGTTCTGTTATTAGCTGAGTTACCAAAGGAAACAGGAGCTGACGAGATTACATACTCTGTCAGTCGGTATGTCCTTCCCCAATAAATTTCAAATGGCTGGGCAAATGAACCATGATGGAGAAAGACTAGGAATGTAGACACTTCCCACAGAAATTAATTAATCTAGTTTACCAGACAGAAGAGAGACATACCCCTGTCTGTTGCCCCAGAATGAGAGTTTCCACTGAGGGAAAGACAGTGATTTGCGCTGAGCTACAAGCCAGCCCGTAAGCGTCCATGTGGGGGCCGGGTTGTCTTCACGCCTGGTCCAGCAGCAGCCGCGGCACGGCCAGGAGCGGGAACCACCCCGCGGGCCCTGCCGGGCCGGTGCCAGCGGTGGTCCTAGGCCGAGGGGGAGGGAGAGCTGGGCTTTCAGCGGCGGAAGGACACAGAACACACATCCACAGGAAGGCAGGCTTCCGCGGGAGGGTGGCCCATGGACAAACTCTGTTTTCCAAGTGACACGATGCTGATACAACGGACAGAGAGAAACCACAGCCCCCAGGACTACAGCATCAATTTAAGTTCAAGAATCGGACACCCTTACGTGTTTTCCTCCCTGTAAATTCAAGCAGCTGGGGGAAGGGGCGGTGATCAACCGCTAGGTCTGCCCATATGGTCTAAAGTAGCACTGGAAACTCAAAGATCAGACTGGTTAGCGGTTTTCTGATCTTTTTACTACTTCTCATGGCAACAACACAAAAGCAAGTAACAAGGGTCGTTTCTACAGGTTTTGTTATATTGCAGATAATTGCACAAAAATAGTACGACTCAAATAGCAACGGCCTAAAACCCGACGCTGGTATTTTCCCTATTTCCCTCCTGTCCTTTCCCTTAAGATCCGATACACAGAAGTACTGAAACACGCATTTGGCATTACAGTCATATTGCAGATTTTGCCAGGCCTGAATCTAGGGCTTCAGTTGTGGCATTTCACCATGGCCGTTGTCGTGGCTCAAGTAAAGCGAAGGCAGGCAGAGCTGCAGGGTAAGGACGAGCGGCCTGCAGCCGGCGGCCGTGGTGCGGGCGGTCCCTGCCTCTCACCGCAAGCGCCACCCGCAGCAGTCAGACAGCCCACCTTGCACCATCACGGCCACCTGCCCCTGCTTCCTTCCCAGTACTAAGAAATACATTTGTTAGCACTCCCTAATGTGCTTCAGGAACAATCAGAGGTATTACCAGAAATCAGAAGGAGATATATGTATCTCAGCCCAAATTCCCCTACGGTTTCTTTCTTCTTTCACCCATATGACATGCAGGAGGAAACCCAGGCTTCGCTAAAAGGTCTGGATCTCCTTTGCCATGAGGCTACCTGAGTGCTTCAAGATGCAAGCCTGAAGACATACCCAAATTCCTACCTTTAAATTAGCACCCATGTGGTTTTTGTTTGGTGAAAGACCCCAGACAGAACATCTGACAACTTAACAATATTTCTGTAACCCAAATAAAATATGCTAAAACAGTTCTTAAATGAGTAACAGAGAAATTTCAAAAAGCTTCCTGATTCTGGCTAAAAATAAAACAAATATTTTATTTAGAAGTATATGGGCTTTTGAAGTCTTCAGAGTTTGCCAAATTATTCAATTTCTCATACTCAGGCACAGAGATAAAAACTCATCAGGGCTGAGATGATCACAGGAAGAACCTGGCACAGGCTGCTCTCTTTCATATGCCCTCAGTTTTTCTGCCAAAAATAAATACATCTGATCGCAAATGCTAACTACTATACATTTTTCATTTAAAGGCAACGGCCTTCCCTGCTCTAGTGTGCCATACAACATTTTATTACCATTGTGTAGTACCAAATTAGTTTAACTAGTTAGCAGTATCAGAGAGCTAACAATTCCATTTGACCATTTGGATCCATCTGACCTGACAGAGCTAGTGTTTGTTGCATGAAATACTCTGAGTTTACAGACATGTAATTCTGTCTCTAATCACACCAGTAAAGTGATAACCTAGTAAGTACAGAGATGTACTTAATCTCTAGTAAAAATGATAACATTAGTGTTACAGGAGCATAGTGTGCACACGTACAAAACTACCCCCCAGCAACTACTTCAAATACACATGATTTTCTGGTTTCCATTACTCTGAATGTGAACTTCAGTCCTCTCATTGCTAACAGAAACACACTCCTGAAATGCAGCCAGAAAATTACAGTTTCATGGTGCATAAACCTCAGGCAAGAATACTGTGAAATATTCTTACTATGCAAATAATTATATCAACTATCAATTTCACCAAGTGACCCTACTGCTGAAGGCTATACTACTACTAATAAACAGCAACAGAAGCAGGCATAGAATAAATCTATTTGAAAATCAAATTTGTTTGATGCACATTCGTCCTGAGTTATTTTAGAATACCAAAACCTCAAAAATATTCATATAAGCATTCTAATAAACATACTCGGTGAAAGTTCATTAACCTTATTACTATGTTTGAAGTTTATACTTCAGAGCAGAGTCTTACACTCTGCATACTTCAGAACTGATAAGACTGTGTGTGCAGAAGGAACAACTGGATATTTTAACCAACCAACCGGCTTCGTAACAGGAACAGAACTATTTTTTAATTAAACAGAAAAACATACTGTCAGAGGTCATTGTCATGAGTTATTTTTCCATAAAGAACACATTGTGTGCCAATAGTGCACAAAAGCAATTCTTATGATCCTTGAAGTTAAATGTTCAACTGAGGAAATTCAATTGATTTTTTATGGGCAAATTTAGCTTCTCAAAGCAACAGTGGACTGAGTAAACAATGAATGACTACAATTTCTCTAGTTATAATACTCCAATACACCTTATGCACCTCCACAAGCATAAAAGCAAAAGAGCTGTATTTACATATTTATATATATTTTAATCTATTTATATAAATTTATATTATTTGTATATATATACACCTGCAAAATGCCTCCTTTTATTTTAGTAGTTCAGAATAAGATCTTGACTGAAAGACATTTGCCATGTTGATTTCAAAAGACTCAAAGTGCATACTTAAAAATTAAAATATCTGTATTTTCTTTCTAAGTATGATGTTGAACACAGTGTAGAATTGAGAGCTCTATTTCTAATGTAAAATAATTAAATCTTTTTCAACAGAGGAAGAGTCATGTAACAGCTTTTACTTTCTCATTCACTCCTAGCATACTTCAATCCAATCGATTTTAGTGGTTTTTTTTAAATTCCAGAAAGGTCCTCAACTTGTATTTTTAGATTTTTTCCTCAAAGTGCTTCTTTCTCTACAATGTCCTTACACAACCGACCAGTGATTGAGCTCATAAAGTAACCTGATTAACGTACTTGCTCTGATTATTTCCTTTAGAGTTTCCTGAAACCTCATGATACTGCCAGGGAAAAATCACACTTGTATCAAGTAACTGCAGAGTACCATATTTTGTATCATCATATACAGGCTCTCATTTCAATTCTGGTATTTGTCGGAGAAGTACCACACCAACAACCACACATTTTCAAAATTCCAGTTCAACAACAACTAAAAAACCAGTTTGTATCATTGACATTGTAGCATAAACATATTATGGTCATTCGTATGTCTTCCATTTTCCTTTTATTCGATCAAAGTAAAAAAGGGAGAAAAAGCTATCTTTTAAAATTACGCAGCTCATCTGGCAGATTAACAATATAAAACAGTTGGGGGAAAAAAAGACTTTATCAAAATAGAAGGGGTTTAGAGCAACAAGTAAATTCTTACACAAGTACGGAGAGAAAATCAGCCTCTGTATATAAAACAACTTAAGTCAAATTGAGTTTCATTACTCAGTAAGATAAATTCATTTTCTAAAATCATCCCCAAAGTGTTGATCATTACAGGACCAGGACTGGGGTTTAGAGAAAACTGTTCCAATTGAATTCCCAGTACTCACTTTCTCCACAAGCTGTTTTGCCTCAGTGTTCTAAATCTTCTTAGATATCTCTTTTAAAAAAAGTTTGAAAAAGATTTCTACTTAAACACAAACAATCAGAAAGTAGATTTTTGCTATGAGTCCCTTCCAATCACTTCATTTTCCTATTTCCATAAAAAAAACTTTTCAGTAAAAAGCAGAAATAAAAGGGCAATTCAGGGTAAACTTCCATTACATTTTCTCACATTATCTTGGGTCATACACCTACTTTTCTCTTGAAGGCCCAGGAAGAAGACAGAAAAGGAAAAGATTTGGATATTTACATAATAAAAGAAAAATCTTTGCTGAGTTTAGGTTGCTTTGCAAAATTTACTTTTGGTCCACTGACAAATTATTACTGCAAAACAAAAGAACACCTAGTTCAGAATAATTATTCATTTGTATTAACACAAAAAGTTGCAAAGAGAAACATGACTAACTTCAGAGAGCAGCAGCCCTATGACTATCAGTTGAAACCACCTTGCAGAAGTCAGATTATTTAATGTCCTATAAAGACATACCTTTTTATCATATACATCTTGCCAGTTTACTCCAGCAAAGAAACTATGACGCATGATTTCTTTTGCATCATCTGGGCCTCCACCAAGTCTAAACAGAGTGGAAAAAAAAATCTTGTTAAACAAGTGTTACTCTTACAAGGACATTAAGTTATTCTAGCGGTTGGAAAAGCGACCATTTGTTTTTGATTATCTGGGAACAATTCTCACCTGTTTAATACAAATTCAGGTGAACTCGAGAGAATATGTGACAGCAGAAGTGCCCATGCCATGGTCTATTCTGTTTGATTATTCCAACTACAGTGTTCATTACTGTCCATGATGAGCTTTTTTAATAATTCATTCATTTTAAAAACATACTTAAGTTTAGTTTTCTTGAAAGACCAACTAATGTTCCGGCACTATTAAAAATCAAAACCAACCCAACAAAGCTGACAAGTTTTGCCAAGGAGGTGCCAGGCACTGAATCAGTAATGACTCACACATCATTTTTATACAGTGTTCACTGTTGTTGCATCTGGGTGCTGTAACAATTAACCAATTACCATAAAATAGTCTCAATTTGAGTCAATTAGTATAAATTAATAAATTGTAGGCCTGCTGAGAAGGTTATTTAAAGGCCACTGTAAATAACTACACTATTCACTGTAGCCCATAGCTTGCCAAAGCCAGCTTCTGTCTGGTAAATCATCTTCGGAAGTGAATGCCACCTCCTTTGGGTGAACTTGCCCAAGGTCATTTGAGCTGACGGAAGTGGTCACTGCTGCCAAAAGAGGAGGGTTCCACCCCTGCCCCTATCTCTACCCTCTAGCATCATTCCCACCAATGACTGAGAGCTGAGTCGGCTCACTAACTTGGAAGAAAATTAACCCCACAATGAGAAAATGAGAAAGACCTGGCTGTTTTTTGTTGCATTAGCAAGTCAAATTTGACTCAACAAGTTTAGTGAGCTCCCTTGAGCTGCTGCAGTTGGTGGAGAAAGAACCACACATCCAGTGAAGGGAACCTCTGCCTCTTTCAACAGCACGTGGACTTTCAGGACTACTCAGCTCTCATCTAACTTCTTCCTGAGACTGGCTATCCTGCTGGTCTAACAGAAAGAAGTTGCAACAGAAAATAGCTAATCTTAACTGCACAAGCAGCCCATACATGTTAAATGTTGACAAGAAGAGTGACACAACCACTTCATGTTTCATTAAAAGGAATTGCTAAAGATATAAAGCCAAATTTTAAAAGCAACCTTTTAAGTAAGATAAATTCCCCTCAAGCATTTATTGCGAGGAGCAATAATTCCCACAACCAAGAAAAAAAATCTGTATTGGCATTACCCTGCTGCCAAATTACAAAAATATTCTGGACTACTACCTCAGTCTTGCAGTAACTGGGTGAAGTTATTCTCATTTCCAAGCTGTATTCCTCTTTGTTTCTCAACTACTCATTGCAAAATTCTCTATGTCTCTGCAAGGCATCCCAGTTAGCCTGCAATCTCCAGACTTCTCTCAGTATCTTCCCACCCAGCTGCTCAGAGAAAAGCTGAGTTGAAGTTAACCTCTGTGCTCCCACCCTATTTAGCATTAGCTAGCACCAGAACTTGAATATCAATAGGCTTGTAAATGTAAGTCTGTAATAAACACTACTGTCTGCAAAGATTAAGTACAAGGAAGCATCTTTTCAATTCTACGGGTTAATGTATTTGATGGGTCAGATTGTTTGGAGGTTAAAATGCATCAGGAGTTGCTATAGGAACAAATTTTTACTTTACTCTCCATGTATTTGGCTGCTTGGTCAGAGTTTGCTTTACTGCATACAGTAAATTCAGTTAACCAGGTGTTGCAGGGCAGCAGCAGAAAGGCTGACCACTTGTCCTGTCCTGGTTGTTGCACTTGGCTGCATGCAGGCAAATCCGTCAGTGACACAGCACCCAGTCCTGCCCCGAGTGCCAGTGAGCAATGCCCACTACCGAAACCTTCTTGAGAACAAACTGCGGGTGAGGGAGGACTAGAGAAGAGAGACAGACAGATGAGTGTCTGCAGCCTTAAAACATGCCAAGAGACTCGCAAGAACAACAGAGAGATTGGAGAAAAGAGGGTCCTACAGACAAATCTCACTGATTTACTACGACAGAACCACAGGTGACTGGGCACTGCTGGTCCAGTGCAGGAGCCACTGGAAAATGGCTCTCCTAGGCACCAATCCCTGAGGGGAAAGCCCACCACAAAAGGGCAAAGGCAGCAGCTAAGTGATACTTACTTTCAAACCACAGTATTTAAATTTCACTCAGAAGATGTATTCTTTAACGAGTTACTAGTTTACATGGCCTAATATGTGATTTATTTACATGCCCCAATAAAATTGAGCTGTGGCTGTCTATACATGTCTTCTGGCATGATCACTTCCAAGAAAAAAGTGCTGTAGTCCCCATGAGACACTACAGCCAACTCAGGGTTAAGTCATACTCTGAAAAATGATCGAGAGCTTTCCCTTTGTTCCAGTGCACAACCTAAACTTGAAAAGATCCCTGTGTTTGCTGTGAATGGTTTAAAAAGTGTTCTCTTGCACTTCCTTTTTCCCTTTTTGCTTGTTAAACTCACTTTGTGTATCATTGCTGTATTGAAAGAGTGGAAATCTGAGACTGTGCGGCTGCACATGGCCCTTTCCTGTGACTGACAGGTCCTTCAGCCAGGAAGACCACGCAGCACTGGCCTATTTTTACATTACCCAGTACAATTAGAGTATTTATTATGCCTGTATACCCAAGTAATTTCACTTACCGCTTATTTGGATCCTTTATCAGTAGGCCTGATAGTAATGATTTTGCATCTGCAGACAGAGTTCGAGGAAATTTTATGTCCTCCATTAGTATCAGTTCAAATAGTTTCTCATGATCTTGGTTGTAGAATGGTAATCTTCCACACATCATTTCATACATGACAACTCCTAATCCCCACCAGTCCACTGCACGACCATAGTCATTATCTTCCAGCACCTAAGACAGAAAGCAAAACCAGCTGTAAAACATGCACTATTTCAGACACGATCATTTCAGCCTGTTTGATGCATCTCTATATGAATGTGTTTCCAAGGCTTTACTTTCCGTGGGCTACAAGGGCTCCCAGAACCTGGCTCAACACATGCAACTGCAGTACCAATTCACCCTCCTGAGTTCACTGAAATTCCAGGCATACCGGTGACCATACTGCTAAAAGCAAAACAAACAACTGAGAATGACCTGCTCAAAATGATCATGACTGCATTTTCCCCTTTCCTATGTCCTCTACCATCCCATTTATAGTGTATGCAGTTTTTAGGAAGAGACACTATCTATGGGCACTACTGCCTCAGTTAGCATTCTTCTGGGAGAAGAAGTGAAGCATCTCCTTGCTCAGTCACTTCCGCTCTCCTTATCCCACCTGTAAGAATAAATATAGAAACACCTTAATCCAACTAAGACAAGCTTAGCTTCTTTACCATAGTTATTTACATTAAAATCCTCAATACGTTTCTCCTGACAGTTTCATTATGTTCCATGAAACAGTCCAAACAGCTGAACTGTGCTAATGCAAAGAAATATGACAATGTTTACATGATGCTATGTTTACTACGATACTATGTTTATATGATACGATCACAGAAATACGGTAACGTTTATATAATTTGTTAGCATAATGCCTCCAATGTTGTGTACCTAAAAACAACCTACTCCACAGCCCTTCTCTCAGCAGCCCCAGAGAGCCGTAATAAGGAATCTAAGCAGTGCATCTTGACCTTAATACACCTTCATATTAAATTGCAGAAATGGAGACAACCTAACAGCAACATACACCCATAATGAAACCATAAGCAATAAGGAAACAGAAGGCTGCTGAATATATACATATATACCTCCAATTTCTGTGAATTTCTAGAAGATCATACCCTTTCATTCAAAAAAGATGCAACAGTTAGAAGTTAATAAAGGGTAATACAAAAGGTGCTACAACTGTATGAGCTAAACTGCCCGTATTTGCTGCAGAAAGGTCTATTAAAGAGGAAAAAACCTTAAAACAAGAAATTAAACAATAAACAGAAAGATCAAAGAAATGCAACTAATAGAATTGGACCATACTTATAAAGAATGAAACAATTCTTTACAAAGAATTGTTTCTGTATCACTGAAAGGCAGATTCTGAAAGGCAGCACATATGACTGATTTAAAAAAACCCATCAAACTAATCCACAGAACACAAAATACTTTTTACAACACACAGACACACGCAATCACCACCACAAAGAGCTCACCCAGATTCGAACTGTAAGCAGTCACACAGGAACGGTCATTTAGACACATAGTAGTGAAAATCTGGTGAGGTGTAGTAAAGCCTTCAGGCTTTAATGAAAAGGTGACCTCGTAACAGATCAGAAACAACCTTTTCCCGTGAGTACATTATCTTGTGATTGCCTAAAAAGTGTAAGATGAGTTCCAATAATCTCCTGTGAAGCAAGGGCAGGGCAGACCTCACCCGTCTGGGGACAGAGAGCGGCCGCGGCCACATCTCGGGAGACGGGCACTGCCCGAGCCAGCCCTAGGAGGGCTGTCGACCTGACTGCTCTGCCTCTCCTTTTCCTCCTCCAGTAAATCCCAGCCTGCTCTGAACAATCTGGTACATGCTATTAGCAGAAACAAAACGCAGTCTGATCCAGCATGGCAATTTTGATAATCCCATGGCAATGAATGCATTCATAATCCTAGTTTTCTCTGTCCTTAAGGATCAGTAGTAGAAACATGATGAAAAGAAGTGTATTACAAATCCCTCTTGCGTATATGAGATTAAAAAATCATAAATATTAACACATTAACACATACTATTTACAACTGTGCCAAAACACACAGACTTGTTACATCACTGGTATTTCCAAATAGAGAGTGAAATTTTGGAAAGTGTAAAATACCACAAATTATCTGAATAAGTAGATATGACAAAACTAACTAAAATAACTCCTGCATTTTAAAATTGTTTTCTGAGTTTGAGCATATTGCAAGCTATTTGCTGAAAAACTGTATGTGAAATCTGTGACGTTTGTCTTTAAACCACCATTTCTTCTGCCACAGAATAAAAGCATTATATATTTCTCTACTATATCTATTAGCACCATCACTATTTCTTCTATTTGTACAGTTAGCTACTCTTTTCCTTTGAAGCCAGTAAAATACATAAAATTGCAAGGCAGCAGTAGATTCTTTTTACAAGTAAGTTGAGGTGTGGTTTGCATGTGTGATTTATAAAAGAAGGCAACAGGAAGATAAAATGTATCATTCTCTGAACAAGGCAAATGGCATGGACAACAGCTAAAGCAAACTGTATCTGGGGCTTTACCTAATAATAATAAAAAGTATGAGCAACCTTTTGCTGCATTCCCACAACAGCAACAAAACAGTGGTACAAAGAAAGAGCCAAATGTGATTTTTAACCTCTTTTTACATAAAATCATAAAAAAGCATAAAAGCTGGATTAACT